GACTTAAATACGGAACAGGGTGTTGTAAGCATGAAAGTAGTCTTTGTACTACGATCTGCTGAGATTTAGCCTTCGTTCCACGATTTGTTCATATTTATATGAACATTTCTCCCCCCACAAACAACCACATCATAATAAACAATAAACTTCAATAAGAATCACCTTAATTCCGGCGTGATGTATGCCGTTAAAGCATCTGGCGTAGTGTATGTCAAGCTTATAGCTTTATCAAACACTTGTAAGTCCACGACCAAAAGGACTTGGGGTTAACCCCGAGAACCCTCGGGGTTAGCCCCCCTCCTGAATCCATTGCGCTGGTTGCCGAGTGCTGAAACGCACGTTTGCATTTTCGTAACGATATGCGACATTTTACGTTACAGCAATTTTGCCCAATCAACTATTGACATCCAAAACAATTTAATTAAATTTCGCAAGACGGCTTCATCACAATTTGGTTGTAACCCCGGCCGGCTTTCTCCCCGGTTCATTGTACCGTTCGACCGGATCGATAGAACGGCTGTCATGCGGTTGGAGTGGTTTTGAGACTTGTCAACCTTGGACGATCCCCCGACCTTGGCAAGAGTCTTGCCAGGTGGCATATCATAGTACACCGACGGCTTGTCAACATTGATAATGTCAGCATGGGCAGTTGACGCAAACTTGGCCCAAAAGTGAGATGCGAACTTTTCATGGATCTCACGTAACTCGCCTTGTTTGACTTTGAAGACACATGGGACTCTTTGGGAGAACTGGTATCGTTGGGAAAAGCGTTGGCAGAGTCGCATCAGACTGTGGTAGACACGGTCTTCCGTCTTCTTGGCGGCAAGGTAGTCGGTCAACCAGTCCTGGTGATGAGTCTTCATGTAGGTGATGAGGTGTGTGTGTGTGAGGTGGTGTTCTTGTTCGCGAACTTCATTCATGAACGCGTTCAGGTCCTTGGCAAATGGCACAAGCTCATGGTGGCCCTATCCACCAAGCGCGAGGCGCTTCTTGTTCGCTTTGGACTCCAGAATTGCGTCTCTGTTTTGCAGCCAACGCCGCCATGTACTCCACTTGATGCCATGAGCCCGGCTGTACCCTTTGGAGGACATCGTGGATGGGTCATACTCCATGAGGAACCGTTTACGGTCACCATTGCTCGCTTGGACACGCATTTCAAGTGTTTGTTTTTGGCGGTTCATTTGAAAGGAGCCAATCAGCGTTGCTCAGTATTGCTCATATTATTCGTTATATGTTGTGATGTATTGGTGAATGCTATTTTTGGATTTCATGATGTCTAATACAATTGGTAGGTATAATTTATTCTTTGTGTTTTTACTTTGACGCACTAATAAAACTTATTTCACAGCGTTTTCGCTGCTGGCTAACCAATACTAGTATTCCTTAGTCCCACTAGGAGTGATTGCTCCCCTGGTTGGGGGACGTCTTACGTTCTTTACGGGAACAGTTTGGCGCGAAATACCCGTTTCTCCTAATGGGTGAAACTGGGGTCATCACGGGAATTGAATCCGGGTCACAGCGAGTGACGTCAGATTCTCAAACACCTAGTCTAATGGACGACCTTGATGGGCGACCTTGGAAGTGGATCGCAATTTCTGCATCCACCTCGTCAAACGAGGGTGGTTTACATGATTAACGAAATTTCAATATAATTCTGCTTTATATATATGATGTACCCATCGACATATTTGGCAGCCGACGACTTTAAGCATACAAATTGCTTACTTATTTATTCATCATATCATGCGTGTTGTTGTAGGCAAAATTGTCACCCATTGGCTAAAATAATGCATTTTCAGCATTCAAAAACTCATTGACATGGGAATATTATTATACTGGAAACCTGCCTGAGTACCACGGGGCCACTTATTCCGTCGTTATCTGTAATTCGATTGCACTCAACACGAATGCTTTGGGTGATCAATATTTTACCAAAAGCCGTGGGTGTAAGAACACTTTTCGCAGTTTGAATTAGATTAATATTTTACCAAATCATCTCCAAAATTCTGTGGGTTACTTGCGGCGGTTTGAATTTAACTTCTGTCCGGAGGATGTGCCTAACTTTATTCGCTACGGTTAACGGAACCAGGTAATCACATATTAATGGAAAATCATCAATTATATTACGTTATTGTAACTGCACATACTTTTATGGTATTTTGTCAGTGCAACACTAACAGGATCAAGTCGCTACGCGAAACCGATTTGCAACAGTTGCGAACTCGCATTGCAGGCCACTATGACCAGGAGTTCGTCGCACCTTGAACGTTCTCTGCATCTGTGTGGAGGTGCGCGGCCTTTCCCAGCGTAGCGGAGATAGGCTTGGCTCTGATATTCTTGAGGGGTTCGGCGCATGGTCAGGGGTTACAGTAGCGATACTTAACCCGTGGCGGCGATGCGCCAAACCGAATGAAGACTACACTTCGACCTAACTTATGTTGGTTCCAGGGCGGGGTTCCGAGGTGTCAAGGCTCTACGTAGGGCACGTTGTTGTGTGCACATTTGGTTTGTTTCTAGTTGCCAACGTGCTATTTCATCCGCGAAGCGCCTTTCCTAATTCCTGCCAGCTCACTACCGTAGCGCATTTCATGATATTATGTACTAGTATCAAGTTTTGGTCAGCACTTTTGAGTTGAGATAACGTTAGTAACTTAGGCTAACAATATAATATACATTTAAGCTTATTACAAAATCACCCTAATTATCAGGCACCAATAACTACAGTACAGTACTTCGTAGTAGTGAACAGTACCTGGTACTGTAAAGGACGATATTTGACACTGCATATACTACAGTACAGCACAAGGTACTACTATTAACAGTTAACAGTACCGTACAACTACTACGTAGTACTACTACTTAGTCGGTATTAATAGTACAGAAAAGAAGTACTATGATGATTGATTTTCACTGTGTTTCCTCGTAATTATATCAAGCTATATCTGATTTATAGGAGAATTATCCATACTAGTCTACAAAGGTATATCTTACATATTCAGTGGCCTATTCGGTGATAGCGTAAACAATCAATGATTTACCGAACGTCTTGCCCAATAGGATTCCAGAATTGATATGATTGGATAAAACTATTACCGCAGCATTGAAACAACCTTGGTTAGTTGTATTATTCGGGGAATTTTGTTATAGAGTTTCAACCTTATTCAGAGGTACGTTGAGCGCATGATACTTACTAGCATTTGCTTTTATAAATAGATATTTGTATCGTTTGCTCGAAGCATTTCCAATACTTTAATCAAATCTATATTTCGGCATATCAATGATCACTGTTTGTAGCGGCCATCGTTACAATTTTATGACTTCAATTCCAAACATATTAATTTCCTTCCATCTAAATCTAACTAAAGAGCTTTGACTAAAGAAAACTCCGTATCATTCAACATACGTCATAATAATCTTTAATATATTTCCTGTTGAATATACAGTGCATACATCGTACAGTACAGTATATGAACAGTTCTGTACATAGTGTATGTTAATAAGTAACATTAAAAATACGTCATATTAATCCTGTAAAATATGTGCAGTTGAATGCTACCAAATATACGTACAGTGCATTGAATTTGTTATTCAAGTGAAGTAACGTCCGAACTACGTAATATTACTCCTTCAAGATATGTGCCGCTGAATACGCAGTGCACGTTACATAGTGTACGTACATTGTACTACCCTTCATTCCCAATCGGAGGTAGTATACGTTAATCGAGTGAAGTAACATTCAAAACAGGACTACTCTTCCATACAAAATCGATAGAGGGATTTGGCGATACTACAAAAGGAGTACCTCGAAGTACTAACTGTAAGGATCACAATACTTCAAGTATAACAATTAACAATTCACAGGGAGACTGCGCCCAAAGCGTAAGCGGTATACAATATGTTGTTCGCAGTCTCCTCTGCGTTAGGGTGAAGATTTCGGGCGATCAAGATGTTGTTGTCGATGTTCGCAGTCTCCTCTGCGTTGGGGTGAAGATTTCGGGCGATCAAGATGTTGTTGTCGATGTCGATGTTGTTGTGTTCGCAGTCTCTCTGCGTTGGTGTAGAGATTTTGGGCGATGTATGTTGTTGGCGGTGTTGTATGTCACACTATACTTTAATCAAGTGAAAGGTAACCGTCCAAAGGCGTCAAAATAATCAATACATACTTTAATCAAGTTCAACGTAACCGTCAAAATGCGTCATATTAAGCTATCTCAAGATATTCAATGCACTATTTTGACTACAGTTTAGTATCACAGCTTAAATGTAAGTGTAGGAGATGTAATCAACAATAGTCTAATTTGACTGATATTCTGTACTGTACAACTGTACTCTTCCTGAGTTCAGGTACATGTACTACAGTACTATTAATAGTACATAGTATTGTACATGTAGTACGAAGTACTGTACTGTAGTACAAATTAGTATACGTATAGTAATCATTAACTGTAAGCTTAGTCTATGCGGTATCAAATTTTGTCCTTCTAGTGCTCCTACATGTAGTACAAGACAAAGTACTCGCATCATGCTCGCATCGAATGCAAGGTTACTGTGAACTGAAAATCACTCCATTCTGTACATCCGCGTGGAGTACTGTACGTACTTCACTTGATTAGAATATACTACGGTAGTATAATCTACTGTAGTAGTACAGAACAGTACTGTAAAGGACGATATTTGACGCTGTATATACTACAGTACAGTACTAGTACATGGTACTATTAATATTAAATAATAAGTTACAGTATTAGTACTACTATTAACAGTTAATA